CTGTCTTCCATGTTTCCCAATTGAAACAGGCTGTAGGAAGCCTTCCAGTTCTACCCACTTTACCCAGCCAACTTACTGCTGACTTGGAGCTAGTGGTGGAGCCCGAAGAGATTTTGGAAGTGCGACAAAAAGGAGATGGGGTGGATCCTAGAGTCGAGGTGCTGGTAAAATGGAAAGGGTTGCCCACTTTTGAAGCAACTTGGGAAGAGTTTGAGGCCTTGGATCAGCGTTTCCCTCACTTCCACCTTGAGGACAAGGTGTCTGTCCCCGGGGGGAGTATTGCAATAGATCAGGCTAGCCCATCCAAACCGATTCAAGTTTATGTAAGGAAAAGGCACAAAACAACAAAAGGTGAAGAAGCACTAGAGGACAAAAGAGGATTTTTCTCTGATTAGTGGGTGCGCAGCCACATGGCAGAGTGTGACAGGGTGCTCTGAATTCTAGGGTAACCTGGGGAAAGGGTGACTGAGTATTTAAGGGGAAAAGCAGGGTTTTGTAAGGGTATGCCGATTTTGATGTAATCTCTAGTCTGATAGTAGCAGCAGTATTCCTTCCAAGATTCTATCTTTATTGTAATAGCAGTAGTAGTAGACCTTGTAGTAATCTTCCATTCTTAATTTAATACCCTTAAGCTTTCCTCCTATATTTCTGTGCGTGTGCTTGTGACTACTGTTACATTGACAGGGTGAGCTGAGTTCATAGCACACTCATACAGGTGGACATCAAATTACAAAAACAGAGAGTGAAGCAACCCAGTTATTAACATCAGGAAATCCCTGCCATGTACATGCTCACAACAAAGAAACAAGTTGATCCCCATCTCACAGTTAGCAGAAAACAAAAACTTCCTAGCTGAATGATCTTAACTATTGTATATGACATCCTTTGAAAAGCTTTCCAGCACACCCTCTCATCTGCCTCCCCTCGGTTGCCTTCCCACAGTAAGCAGCTAAGCACATACACAAATCATACTACTCTCAACTGAGTTGTGCCATATGTTAGTATCACTAGTAATTCAAAGATGGACAGTCCACTTCATAGAATATTTGTTCTACAAGAAAGGCTCTAAAAGTTAACCTGAAAATCTAACAAGGCGAGTGTTTAGGAATCGAGTTGTTTCAGAACTATGGCTGGTTGATGTTTTTGGTGTTTCTTTTCATAACTCTTCGTATAACACTTTTAAATGACTCAACATCCAGATAGCATCTCCTTCTCATTTCTTTTTTAGAAATTAAAGGTTTTTGAGAGGATTAACTGCTTAGCATCTAGAAACAGTTTGCATTTACTTGCTCTTGAGAGCAATTATACCAGATGTACTTGCCTAATATGGTAAAATAAAGGACAAGTATATGGACACTGCAATTAAGTCATCTATTTGAGCAATAAACTGTTTCTAAAATGCATCTTCACAGAAGTCTTATGTGAGTAAGGAATTTGGATGCCACAACCTCAGAAAATCAACCCATTCAAATCAATGGGGCTGAATTATCCTAATCATGGTAAACATATGTAAACTGATCTTGAATCTCAAGTCTTAAGATCATCCCCCCAAGAAGTAAAGATTAATAAAAGTATTCACAAACTTCTCCAAATCAACCATCAACTCAAGTAAGAGATAACACTCTCCCCTCCCCCTACAGCCTACTTATGAACTCCATGTTTATCCCCTTAATAAAATCCTGCGCAAATGACAAAACATCAACCAACTTGATAATAAATAGAAAGAGAAAGTAGAATCTTCATGACTCAAACCATAAGAAACCATTGACCATCTCCTCAAATGACCACTATCCACATATAGCACAAACAGGAAAAACAATCCCTACTCTACCCCTCTCCATATATAAAACATATTCCTCTGTATCACCTCATAGAAAATATAACCAGAACAAACACCCTACCTTAAGAACTAGTCCCATTTTTCTCCACAAAATCCTTAGTACACAACATAACATATCTATTTATACATCCCAAAAAGTCTGGAAATATGTCATAAGACCACTTGGAGATGGGACTCATTGGTCTCCAATATTGAACAGATTCTTCTTGAGTTCATCAATACCAAAAATTAGCTTTACTCCTCAAAATTTAATATACAACTAAACTCACACTATGCTTTAAGATCTTGCAATTAAGAAATGCTTACATATGAAATGTAAACATTACATCTCGCAATTAAATGATGTTCAAAGTAAACCATCATATAAAATCCATTTATTAAAAAGTAAATATTAGATCTCGCAATTAAGAGTTGTTTACATATATGAAGACTTGGGATAAAGTATAAGATGTATAGTCAAAATCAAACCCATAACTTCAACTATATTTGCTCAACAAAACGTAAAAATGAGCACCAAAATCCAAAATTGATATTATTCTTGCTAAATAATTGCAGCAAAATGGATACTGAAATTTTTACCAAAAACTGATGGATACTGAATTAAGTAGCCTCAAGTCCGAGTTGTTGGATAATGGAGTATCTTTTTAATTGATGAAAATTAGAGCAAGTGTGATTTGCTCACTATAGTGAATATTACCTCACAGAAGGAAGAAAATTCATTATATAGAACCATTTGTGCTTGTTTATCCTATCATGGGTATGATTTATTTTGCTTAGTAAATTTAAGTAGCTTAGAGTTTTAAACAAAGAAGATCCTACAAAGCAAAGAGAAGGTTTGATAAGAAAATTAAAAAAAGTGTGTGCAACACGCACAAAGGACGAAAAATGAGGGCCAATCATTTGAACACTAACTTCAGAGTTCGGATTCCAAATAAACGGTGTGACTCTTAAAAGATATGGTTTTATAAGGTACTTTCTCACAAAATAAAAAATAAATAAACAAAAATATTATAAAAGTATTATCTCGCAATTTTAAGATTTAAAGGTGGGTCTTCACGAAGTTTCCTTTAAGTTTATTATTAAGTGAGAAATATCACACAAACTAAAATATCTTTTAGTTTATCTTTTAATACCTCCGTTTTCCTAAGTTCTACCCACCTACTATTCACAAGGTCAAAGTATTAAAATTTTGACCGCATCTAATTGTGTATATATTATAAAAAATTTAAAAAAAATCTTAAAAAAAAAAAACATTATCAAGTTTGATCTTTATTAGATTCGTATTGTTATGAATTTTCAAAATATCAACTTTGTATAATTTTTACTAATGCACAATCAACGAAATTAATGATCAAAATATTACATTGGAGACCCCGCCAAATGCAAGTAACACTTAGCAAAACGGAGGTAGTAATTAATGTAATTAATTTAAAAAATTAGGATCTTTTACTAAATTAGCTAGTTCAGCAATAGTGTTTGCTAATAAGGCTATTTACATATTTTAATACCAACATTAGCTAAAATATTGAATTGAGGCATATTTACATCAAACCACAACAAAAAAAAAAAAATTCCTTTTTTGTTTTCCTTGAGAACCAGCCAATATTTTATTTTTAGTTAATTTTTTATGCTTAGTATTACAACCAAATTACACACTCTTCATAGCCGTTCTCATCACTCTCTTTACACTCTATCTAATTCTGTATTATTTCATCTAATAATTCTAAATTTCAAATTGTTTTATATTGCTCACTAATGACAGCTAGTTTTCAAATCAAACCCAATTTCATTTAATATTGGTCTCGCAATTGCAAATTAATATGACATTAACAGAATGGGATTTTATGAATGTATCTAATATATTTTTTTTCCAGTATTTAAAAATGTTCCTTAAAATTTTGCTCAAAATAGACGTAGGATCTTACTTTGGAACCACAATTTGAAAAATGGCAGACTGGCTATAGTGCAAAAGTAGAAACTACGGCGTGGTTTTTTTTTTATTATTATTATTAAATCTTGATTGATGTTGAAATTATTGCACTGTTTTAATGCTTTGGTAATATCATTCAGAGCTTTGTACTTTTGGTAATTGAAAGTTTGATTAACTTATCGAGGTCTTGGACTTTGACCAAAATATATAGCGAAAATAGAATTTCTTAAGGATGTGTCTTGTTGTAACTTAGCATATATAAAGAACATAGTAGTCATATGCACAACCTAGTGATGCACTTAAATAGATTTGGAGGGAGTAGTACATACTTAAAAGACATAGGTAAGAAATGTTGTGGGTTGTCTTTAAAAAAAATAAAAATGAACCTACGAAGAGAAAAACAAACCTAGATTGGTTCATAAGAAAAGGAAAAAAAAAAAAAAAGAATAACTGTGGTATATGCCTCCAACTTAAGGCTTTGGTTAGTTTCAATATTAGAATTTATAAGTAGCCATTATGGGATATAATTTTGTTAAACTAGCCACTTTAGTAGAGAGTTCCCAAAAATTATGGATTCACTTTTTCATTTATGGAATTAAAGTTATAAGTCCTTGGGGGAAAGAAATAAAGAAAATGTAGATACTATAGCAAGATAAGTGGGATAATTGACTGAAAAACAGTTCAGAAAAAACTCAAAAAAGAGAAAAAGAAATGATAAGTTAGACATTTAACTGCGAAAGTAGATTTTTTTGGCTAAATGGAAAAACCTTCTGGTAATTGAAAGATATGATTTTAAATCAGTACTAATCAAATAGTCTCCTAGAATTCTGGCTAAATGGAACACTGTTATCTGTGATAAAACTCAGCTACCTAACATTGGAATGGAAAGATTCAAAATCAACAAATGAATTACTGATTGCCTCATATCGAGTTGAGGAACTGTAGAAGAAAAACTACAATATTAAATCCAATTATCAGCAGAGATTTTTTTAGAATGGGAACTGACAAGCCTACCTACACATTTTAATTCAACAAATTTACATTCAAAAGAGCTGAACATCCAAAAGAGTATTTCCTACCCAATCAGTTTAATTGTGTGCTTTATCCATCAGCAAAGTCCAATTTATAGAACAAAACAGAAAAATGGGCAAAGGTAAAAGAAATCTGGAGCAATAAGATAAGCATAACAGGGGAAATCTCCTTTGTGCATATAGGAAGCTAACAACCCACCTCTTGAGCTTCAACAAAATCAGCTCGTGTGAGATCCACTGCCACCTTATTTTCAAGAAATTGCATCAACAGCATCAGATAGACACCAGCCATCCAAATAGCGGAGTGTTGAAGATCTACTTCTGTAAAAAAGGATAAAGCTACATTCATTTTGGTAATACTTCTGATAAATCATTTTATTTAACCAGACTAAAGGTAATAGAGACAGCTCCACCATGGCTTGCAAAGAGATAGGTCATAAAACTATACTTCCTCCATTTCCTTCTAGTTGACACATTTCTTTAGGCACATTGGGAAATGCATTGTTTCAAATATCAATATCTTCAATTATTAATAGGAAAATCTTATTTAAAAAAATAAAATTGACATTTGTAAAATATACATGGAGATGTATCTAGTAGGAACCCACATAAATCTTCTGTATAGATCATAAATGATATTAGAGTAACTAACGTGAATAATGCCCAAAGTCAAAATGTGTCAACTAATAAGAAATGAAGGAAGCAGTATCTAAAGAAGGGTTTGTCTTGAATCAAAGATTAAAAAAAAAAATTTTAAAAAAAAAGGCACTAAAACTAAAATTAATGACTTAAAAATTTAATAATTATAAATTAACAAAACATTATATGAACATAGATTGAATCCAATATTTTAAAAATTATTAAAAAAAAAAAAGATTATGAAGGGAAAAAAATAATAAATCATTAGAATAGAGATTCCATTGAAGTGGTTCTTAATAAAATTTCTAAACTTTGGTATTAAAAAAGGTTGTGAGCCTTAGTGCGCTTAGGTGCATCTAACAAGACCACTATTTCTTTGTGCCTCAGTGCCTAGGCTTAATGCACTGTCTAATCTTTATATGTTCCTTTCATTTCCCCTCTAATGTTTTCAAGGTAAGATGACAGTTAAAATTTCAACTGAAATCACTACACCCAAGTGATACACAGGTTTTTATTTGTTTAAATGCTTTAGGTTACTATTAACACAATTCAGTTATTGGTTTTTTTGGCCAATAATTCAGATTTTATTTCAGAGATTAATCCAACTTACCTCTTACACCATCTGTGATTCCCAGCCTTAATAGTTCAACTGCAGGAAAATACATGTGAAACATCCAGTCAGAGAATAGTCTATTAATACTACACATTGTACAAAGTCAATCGAATCAAACATGATGCTTTTGCTACTACTTACATGTCACAATCCTAGCTAAGAGGGTAATATAGTGAACCACTCCTGTAAAATATTAAGTGTCTCATGTCTAACATGCAAATATACTTAGGGAAAGCTTCACAAGACATCTTAGGAAAAAATTATTAAAGATATGAATTTTTTTTTTCCACTTACCACTACAGGAGTGGGATGTTTTAATAGGTACTCCCTCCGTTCCTTATTGTTTGCCCCATTTGGAATTTTCATTGAGGAGTAAATAAGAACCTTTGATGTAAAAACATATTCATGTCTCAAGTGGGATCTTGTTTGATTATTCTCCATATGTAGTAGAGTATTGTAGAATCAAATATCAAATTTTTATAATTTTTTACAACGCTTGGTTGAAGATATTGATGTTTAAAGATGTGCACGGGAGATTGTGCAAAAAGACAAATGGGATAGGCAAAAAGGAGTGGAGAGAGTACAATAATTAATATAGACAGGCAGCATAGTGACAAGATGACCAATGAAACTAAGAACTAAATTTTTGACAATAAGAAACCTGAAGACGCAATTAAATAAAAAAAATTAAAAACAACCAACCTTGGATAATTTGAATTCCAGATTGAATCCGCTTTGCACACTCCTTAAATTGTCCTTTTGGGCGCCCAAAAATTACAACCATAAGGTCCACCAAAGCATAAACTGCATTCTTGGGCAACCACTCCCCATCAATAGGATATGGTGCCAGCTCGAGCTTGTCAGCAGATAGCCTCCTCTCATAATCAACACCAGCAGAATCAGTATAACCTTGTGGAATTAAATTGGATGTGGTTATAGTCCTGAGCTGCTGCTGAAGATGAGCACGTTTCTCAATCAGTAGTGAGCAATCCCTCTGCTTCATAGCAGGCTCGGAGAGAGAGTGGTTCAAAGCGTTGAGTTCACTGGTTAGTTTACGAACATGCTCTGTTTGCTGCAAGTCAGCCTTCATAGCAGCATCAAGCTTGTCAATGTGTTGAGCAACATTCTTGTAGTCGCATATACGAAACCGATAGAAAATGTGCAGTAGCTCATTATAAAAAAGCAAACCAAGACATTGCTGTGTCTGCAAAGAAGTGGCAAAATCAAGATGGGCACACAAAGCAGGTCATCAGCTTCACATTAAGAAAATTGTAATTATCAATGAACAAAGTTCCAATAAGAAATTGATGACAAAGGAAAACACAAATTGCAAAATAAACCGAACGACTTATTCAGCTAAATATATCAAATTAAAAGAGGCCAGAAGTGCAGCAGTAAAAACAATCATCCTTATTTGTACTCGTACTTCTCAAGGATTAGCAATTAACAAGGAGAGATGGAACAATAAGGTGTGGCCAATAGGTCCTAAAGCTCTAGAAACAAATCGAGTTTTGATTCTAGAAAAACACATCCGATATATCATTCATTGCAATCCTATTCCACTCTCCCCCCCCCCCCCCCCTTCCTTGCCAGAGCTATTTCCATATAAATATAAAATTCAAGAAAGATGACCAAGTTGAGAAACCAAAGAAAAAGTTTAACTAGACTCAAACTAAGCACAACCACAAGAGAAAGAAATCACAGCAAATCAGTAAATGCTGCCAATGCTCACACCAACTTTAGGTCCCTCATTACCTCATTCTCCCACTTCTCTGGTGTGTCCCATAAAATATTCCAGAACCCGTAGAAGCAACCAGATACTCAAATTTTCAATCATATCCTTACATGTAGCAAAATCTCTAAGCACTCCATCTATAGTGGAGTCAGGAGGGTTGATGCAAGAATGTCACCCAAAATTCTGGAATTAGGTTCATTTAGTTCTTGGATGCCCAAAGAATTTCAAATCTAATGTTTTGCCCAAATTCTTTGATGTTCTTAAGGCACTTAAATAAAAAAAATTGAAATATAACTAGTAATTAGAGAATCCCAACCCACATCCCACACCCCAACCTCTTCTCTCAAGTCAAGAGAGAGAGAGTATTTCCCAAATAGCATATTTGGATTTGAATTTCCATAATTCAGATTTAACAGTTGATTGTTATAATTCCGAAGAAACTCTTGTATCCAAACACTGCCTAAGAGAGTTTGATAGTCAAATTTAAATGTAAAATCCAAATCAAAAAGAGCCTAAGATCTAAAATTTGAAGCATCAAATAACAAATAGAGTAAGTGTTTGTGCACAACGAAGTATTTGACCTTTCCAAGTGAATAAACATTTACCATCTATTACTAATCACCAAATCCCAAGAACGAGTATGTGGGATTCCCTACAAGATACATATTTCTTACTAGTACGAAGTTTGTAACATGGGACATATAGTCACCAAGGGGAAATATGAGAAGTTTGAACAGCCTCTTCTTTAAAGCAGCGATAATTCCGGTGTGAGAAGCCAACTACAAACTCCCTCAAGCATTACTGATCAAAAGGCTCCTGGAACCTGATGGAGTATCCACTATCATGTACTTTCCCTATCTCAAATTAAACTTTCAATTCAGCTTAAGTGTACATATTATAAAACTAACAGGGGATGGGCAAATTCACGATTGAAGGTGTAGGTATTGTGAGAGAGAAAAAAGGTAAGTGGATTTCCCATTAAAGGTAAGTGGAAATTAAATTGTGATGGACCAAATTGGTTAAGTAGAAGACAAAATTGGCGAGCCATACATGAAAGCATGAGTAGTGAGTGTGACCATGGTTTTAAATTCGGAAATTTCATCAAAGAACAGTAAAATGTCACATCGTGCCATTAATGAGGCCTGGACGTTAACAGTCCGTTAATGGGATTCCTAATTCACCAAATGCCACAGAATATTTACTAATTTCACCAAATGCCATTACTTATTAAAGTTATTACACAATATACCTCTAAAGTAACGGCTAGTTTTTTTTAACAATTTTGAATTATTGATGGGGCAAAGTAGCCGTTGCACACACATTCTTGTATAAAGGTAAGACTTAGAACACAAATTGCATCCCTCCTACTTGCATAATCATGAGTTTGATATCAAACACATCTTCCTCAACACACGAGTGTGCATATGTGCGAGTCCCAACCAAATTTTGCGGTTGTGGCAGAAAATACGCGATTAGAAGTTCGGAGTCAACATTAAATCCACAAAGGCTTTACTACAAGTGTGACTCGTGTAATAGCTTCAAATGGTGCAAAGTTTTGAAGGCGCAAGAAGGTCAAAGTACGGGAAGCTACTATGATAGGGATGGACTGGGACATAGCAATTTGCATGATGAATTGAAGCAATTGAAGAAGAAAGTGAAACAGCAACAAAAACTTTTAAATTCTGTTTTGAAATTAGGTGTATTGATGTGTGTGATATTTGTGATTGTAATGATGAAGTGAACATGTAATTGAGATGAAATTGAATAAAGTGTTTACTTGAACATGTCTTCCATATATTTCTTCCTGTTTCAATCATGTTCATCCAAAAAATCCTTACAAACTTCATTGACTCCAAACCCTTCTTGTGCACAAAAATCCTTAAAAACTTCATTGAATGATTGTTTGTCTGCAAAAATGAGCCATGGCTCTAGTTTAATGCTACCAAATTCACAGTGTCTCCAAACCTTGTCATTCTTGTATGTTTTATCCATTGCTTGGCTCCCATCAAGATAATCTTCAAATTATTTGTCTAGGATGTCATCATACAAGAATTCATATTGTTCCTCTCCTTCTATGAAGTCCCCAAGATCATCAGCATCATCAAAGTCTTCACTACCAGATTCTATGTAATCTGAATCCTCACTGTCATCATCATCAGATCTATCATCCTCACTACTGTCAACCCTAGCTGGTGACCTTCTAATTCTTTCATATCTCCTTAAACTGACCCTCTCATTGCTTCCCCCAGCAACCCCTTTCCCACTCTTCTTTTTTGTTCTGAACCCTAGTGGTCTTGACCTACCCACCTTTTTGGATTTCTGAGGCATAGCATTTCCAGTTGGGGGAGGTGGTGGAGGTTCAGATGTTTCTGCTTCTTTTTTGCTTGAACTTGAGGATTTGGGCTGGTTCATAGGAGAAGTTTGTTGAGGGTGTTTAGGTGGAGTGGAAGGCTGAGTACTCTGTTCAGGCTCAGGTTGAGATGAGATGCCCCTAGGAAAACCTCATCAGCTCTCCTGGAATGTCAAACACTCTAACATACTCCATATCACCACCATCAACATTAGCAACAGACACCTCAACTGCAACTTTAAAAGGTTGTTCCTCCAACTCTCTCTCTGGCCTTTTCCTCCTCCAATCTAGCTTTGTCAGCCATGGCCTTAACCCTTCTTTGCCAATTAGCTTCAGCATCCTTAAACACCTGCCTAGGACTTTGCTCTTCCTCCAAGAATATTTCTACTGTCTCCTTCCCTTGAAACCACTCCCACATTTTAAGCATGTCCCTATCCCCAGCTAACTCCAACTTCCTATTAGTTCTAGGTGGAAATACAAACAAAGTGAAGCATTTGGGAAGGATCACATTTTGTTTCACATAATCCTCAAACATAAACTCATACAAGTCCATTAGACTTGTTCTGTCAGTATCATCAACCAACACATCAAAGCCCTGATCTCTGTAATGGACATCAAGCCACACTCTACTCATCCTATCATCAACAAATTACACATAACATCAACACACATCATTCAAATTCACAACCACATACCAACACATCAGTCATATCACAAAACAACATACCAACACAACATTGTCCAAATTGAATTTCAAGTACTTCACAAACCCAAAATTCATATCAATGCAAAATCAATACCCACAAATTACCATCTTTAACATGAATTTTAACAATAAATCACACAGGTCAAGTCAAATAAGCGTATAAAACTGATCATTTCATAAAACCCTAACCGTAACTCAATTTTCGATAAAAAATTCAGAATCAAAGCGCGAAATGAAGATCGAAAGGGAAAATAATACCTTGATTGCTATTTCCAGCACCCCGAAAAAAATTTGAACTCAACTGTTTTCCTTCTAGTACCCGAGTACAATTCACCGATTTTCAGGTTCGCCCAAGTTCAACAAACGATAAAGCGTCAATGTAGTTGCGTATGTCGTTCAGGTGTTCGAAGAAAGCTTCTTCCTTGATTATGGTTTGAAGGTCTGAGTGTTGCTGAAAGCTCGAAGAATAGGGGAAGGTTTGTGAAGAACAACGAGGGAAATTTTTTTTTTTTTTTGATCTAAATTTTAGAAGTCAGAGAGTCAATGCACTTTAAGGCGCCATAAAAGACAATAAGGGCATAGAGGTCATTTCGCGATAACGGACTGTTAACGCCCAAGCCTCATTAATGGCACGATGTGACATTTTACTATTTGTAAGTGGCATTTGGTGAATTCTGAAAAGTGCAATGGCATTTGATGAATTTTTAAATTTGTCAGTGGCATTTGGTGAAATTTCCGTTTTAAATTTTGATGTGGTCACAGTTGTGACAGCATCCACACACCACTAGCCAATGCCAATGGTCAGTGACAATCACGGCCTATAGTGATTGCAGTAAGATCATTAAACTTTACAATGCGGTTGAGATACGATGATACATCAAAGATTTGATTCTCAGGTAATCACATGTTTGAATTAATACTGAGGCAACTTTTTTTTTTTAAAAGCTACTCTTGGTTTGAGTCTCACTAAAAACACAGTCAAATCCTTCTTCTCAAGGGCAGTTTAAATCCAAATCAAACAATTCACCAATTTGTGAGTTGCATTTTAAAATCTTGAAATCGAACACAAGGAGTAAGATTTTGTTTACATTTTAGAATGAAGCTTTATGGTAACACCGAGATTGATGTCAATTGAGTGATTGACAAATCACAGATCCAAGACCAAGAATTACGTTGCCTGATAGAGTACTTATGAATAGTGAGAACTGAGAAGACTCAGAATTACTTGCTTTGCACTGCATTGTAAGGAGTAGCTAACTAGTTACCACAAAAAGGGAATCTTATGATATCTATAAGGGAGAGGTGGAAATGGAATTGAAAACAATAATGAAGGAGATAACCAAATGCTTACTTTTGATAAGGTGGTTTATCTTGTTGGGTGAGACGGAGAGAAAGAAAGGATGAAGGTAACCCTGGTACTAATGGCATTTCTTGATCGTTTCTCTGAGGGAAAGTTGAATCAAGGACTCATAAATGCTGCCTGATCAAATGAGCCAATAACTTGAACACTTTCGATCTGTTAGAAACTTAGAAAGAAAAGAAATTATCCCAGCCAAATTCTATACACTTGATAATTACTCAAGGCCACCTCCTGTACATTTTCTGAATGTGTTGTGTTAATTAAGAGGAAGGAGCTCCACTAATAAGAAGCTAATTATTCTTCTTTTCATCCATTAGTCAAAAGAGAAGAAAGGTCACAGTATTTTTTTAAGCAAGCCACATAGAGCTGTAAAGGTGATTCTGAGCATGAACTATTTAGTAAAACAGCACAGAGAATACACTACCATAACAAGCTAGAAGGCGACAACAAACACAAATACCTATCTAAACATCAAGGCACAGAAATATTACTCATACAAAGCCTTTAAACCCCTTTCTAGCTGAAGAGAAACAAATCAATGCTTTAAGACAACGGTCAGCTTGATTGGCTTGGTGCATGAATATAGAACAGTGTAACTTTATGACAAAAAAAAGGTAGCAGGAATTCTAGGTAATCACACTAAATAAGCAATAGAAAAGATTCATCCAGCAGCCCTGCACTTTTGTGACAAAGAAATGTTAAAATACCTTATTCGACTCAAAGGAGTTCCACACCTCATCGCATTTTGCTAGAGCCCGTTCCACCATGTCCACATCATCCCATTGCATCAAGTGGACATGAAGTTTCGATGTCGCGAAAAACATCTGACCACCACAAAAAAAAAAAAATAAGAAGGAAAATACTAAACAAGTTATTGGATGAAGAATATGGTACACATAATCTATCATCATAGGATCTACCATATAGGTCAAGGAAAACAAGAATGTCAACATATTTTGTTAGCTGTGAATAAGCATAAAGGGATAACAACAACAACAAAAAGCATTAGTCCCAAAATGATTTAAGGTCGGCTAACATGAATCGTCATAAGGAACTGCATGATATAAAGAAAAGGACATAACAGGATAATCATTTGAAAAAGGTGAGTAAAGTGAGAAAAGGAAGAGCATCCAAGAAAAATTAAGGGAGCTTTACAAGAGAGCCAAGAATAAGATTTAAGAACTTCTCAAGGAGTGTTTAAAAAAAAAAGCATAAAGTGATCATTGATTAAAAAAAAATAAAGAAAAATAAAATAAAGAAAAATAAAAAAAAAAAAAGAAAAATAGAAGATTCAAATATTCAATGATAAGTTTCAAGTAGATGGTAAGCTGTAGAGGGGCAATGGTTCAAAAGAAAGATTCAAGAACTGAGATATGAAAGATGAGGTAGTTGCATTTCATAAAATATTTATTTAAGAATCATAGAAAATCTGAAGGCATAAACCAAAAGTTAAAAAACAGTTAACTTCAAGCCACATCATATAGGACGCCTTTTAAGAAGATTACTTACACATCAACCAAACATAATGATAAGATAAAGATAGATAGGGATCCAGAAACTGGACTTGAGAATACTTGAATCCTAATTCCTACATTAAGGTACAAACAACAAAGGCAAACAGAGTTTAACTTGGTTAAATACTCAAAATCCTGGAAAGCTATAGAAGTTAAGAACTACAACAAGTCTAATAATTCTTGAGGCTGTGAGTTGATACAGACAAAAGGATAAAGACCTTCTATTTAAAAGCTATTACCTAAATTCCACAGATGATGATCACCCAAACAAATAGATAGGACAAAAGATGCTTTAACGGATACATGGAGTAAGCTGAAAGTTATGAGCAATAGTTCATCACTTTATCCACACACCTCTAAATCCTTATTAGGGCTTGCTTGTTTTGATAATCCAACAGACATGGCATAATTACCTACACCGCATCTTTACTCACCATTGTCAGCGTCATCCTCTCAAGCTCACTAGTCACAACAGCATATTATTTAACAATCTCAAAGCCTAGTCAAGATGTCTATTTAGTTTTCGACACAAGCCCATACCAAAACCTTAAACAATGGAGCCATTTACTAAAAGTCATTCCTGCTTAGATACTCACAATCACTTCCCTTGATGTTATCAATACCATCAAGACTTCTATTATTACAGACAATGTACAAACACCTCAAGTATACCATTTATATTCTCCCCATAACATGAGCAAAGGGCTGCTATTCTAGGTCTGTCAGAGACACTCCAGAAAACTATGAGAGATGTACTTGTAACGATGCTGAAAGAGGACTAGGATTCCAGTTATAAAAAGCATTGATATATGTATCCAATCATAAAGGATGGCATCCCTAAAACATGGTTCTAGTACACATTAGCCACCAAATACATATAATTAACACCCTAAATAAAGCTTACTGCTATCACCAGACACATAAGCAGCAAAGGGATCTTAGATTACACGTTTGAACAAAATCAGGGAACATAAGGCTTATTGCAGATCCAGAAACATTTATAAAGGGGGAAAAATCATATGAAACACAATATTGGTATTGCCACCACTTATATCATCACATTTCAGTGATCTCACCACTTATATCACCACTCATATCATCACATCTCAGTGATCTCACACTTCACCTAATGTAACAAATTACAAAATTACAATCAACACCAAGTCTCACAGCCAGCACTCAGTTGAAAACTAACCTGCAATTCAGGATAACATAATTCAGCAGCACAGCTGTATCCTTGTTCAAGAGTAGCAAGGGAATTTTGATAGTCGCCTTCTATAATCAAAGCAGTAGAAAGCTGTGAACTGAAATTGCAATACCATAACTTTGCTGCAAAACTTCAACCAAACAATATGTATCAGTCCAAAACCCGTCATAATCACCAAGAATTAAAGTTCTTTACTCTTTAGCAACATAATTCAATCTATCCCATGATTTTGAAACCAAATGCAATTCAAGTAACCAACCAAATGAGCATACGCATCGCAATTTCAAGAAAAATCTCAAAAGTATACAGTAAGTAGTGATGTTAACAAAAGGAGATCAATTGAACCCATGATTTAAGCCTCATAACAACCTAAAATTTCATTCTTGAAAATAACTAAACGAGCATACCCATCACAAATTCAACAAAAATCTCTTAATCATTCAACACAATTACAAGGGAATTCAATCTAACCCATGATTTCAGCATCATAACCACCTAAATTTTCATTCTTAAAAACAACAAAATGAGCATACCCATTGCGAATTCGACAAAAACCTCTTAATCATTCAACACAATTACTGATTATTAGCAACAAGGGAATTCAATCTAACCCATGATTTCACCATCATAACTACCTACATTTTCATTCTTAAAATCAATAAAACGAGCATACCCATCACGAATTCGACAAAAACCTCTTAATCATTCAACACAATTACTGACTATTAGCAACAAGGGAATTCAATCTAACCCATGAACTCCCCAAAAACAGCAACAACATAAATCATCATAAAATCCCAAAAAAGAGCATACCCATCACCGAGCGACTTCGTAAGCTCCAAACCCTTGTTCAAAATCAGCTTCTGAGATGGTATCGCCCCAACTAGATGATAACATTGACTCAACAAACTATACGCCCTACATTTCAATTCGAAACACGAAGGAATCGACTTCAACAACAATTGCTGCAAAAAATGAAGATAAAATTACGAAATGAAAAACCCCTTTTCAGGAAATAGAAAGAAGAGAGAGATGAACAAACATACAGAACGTTCAAGGTGAGATTTGGCATAATTGACATTGTGAGAATGGCGCAACAAAAGGGTGGCGATTCGAAGACGAGTTTTGACCTCGATTATTGGGAGGAATGAAACTGGGCTTTGGCAAATTGCTTCTAAACATTTGATTGCCTTTGCAAATTCACCTTTTTGCTCATGATAATCTGCTAATCCCCATAAACCTTCTGCTAGTGTATCCATGGAAGTTTTTCTCTGTAATGGTTTGCTTCAATTTTGACTGTTTGTTTGTGTTGTAGACTTGAAGTAGTGAGTGAAAATTCAATTGGGTTTCAATTAGATGAGTCAAGGGGTATGTTAGCGTTTAGGCTTTAGGTTTTGTTCTCTCCGACTTAATTAAGTGTACAAATATACTACATATGAATTGTTATTTGACCATTTTGACGTCAAAATATTACTTATAACGGCATTGTTAATGACGATGTTACTTTTATTTTAAATTTTTAGTATTTCCTAATTCATACTCACTTTCAACCTACAAAATCACTCCACCTCACACCATCACCTAGACTACCACAAGTAATACCACGATCGCCAGCACCATTGCCACAACTGTGCACTAACACGGTAACACCCTCTAATCAATGCGACGACAAAATGATATATCACGGAGGCATGGGAGGGGAAGTGAAGCGTTGGAGGTTAGTTGAATAGCTGCCAAAAATAATAGGAAAAATCACCGGAAAAATTTATTGATGTTTATCAAAGACATCTATATCGCGATATGGACATCTCATACCATGGTACGTATTTTATGCAGATGTCCACACCGTAGACGTCCGTTGGAGATGTCTCCATCACGGATACGACGTCTCTGATGGGTGTCTCCATCGTGACGCCTCCAAGAGACATCTTTAAAGTTAAAAAAAATTACCAGCCCTCTATCCACCGATTCCCCCCTTAGGTGCTTCTCTTGACAAGGCATGGGGCTGGCGGCATCATGCTTGCCCTGAATCAGTGGTGCTCGGGCAGTTGTGGTGGTGGTGTTGTGGAGGGTGGGCCGGGTGGTTGCCCTCGTGAAAGTGGAATTATTGTGCAGAGTGGTTGCACTCATGAAGGTCATGGTGGTGGTGGTGTGGAGGGTGGCTAACTGGCTATGGAGGTGTTGGTGTTGTTAGTATGAAGTAAAGGGTTGATTGAATTAGGGGTGAGGGGTTGAAATTTTTTTGGGTTATTTATGTCAATAACATTGTCGTTATGAGTATTTTTTCGTCAAGTAGTAACTCCCTTTGTTTTTTTGTTGCATCAATTTGTAAGGTGCGAACTCCTAAGCAATTTTTGGGATATAAGAGATAGAGAAAATAAAAAGGATGGACTCATGGCAGGAGAGAGATATCGAGAGTTGATTAACTGAAAAAGAAAGCGATGCAATCTAATATATGTATATAAAGGGGAGTTTTTTCCCGAGTTTTTAGAGAGCCAGGTAGGATTTAATTTTTTCAGCGCGCCACGTAAGATAATAAATTTTAGTGGTAGCCAATTAAATATGAGATTATTAATTTCTTTTAGAATTAAATAATTTAACTGACACGTAAGCAAAATTGGTGAATCAGATAATTCAGTTTAAATTAATCAAATATAAAATATTATCTTTTAATATCAGGAAATTTTATCTAAACATTTAACAATTTTTAGCACATAAATATATATATTATGATATCTATTTTATTTTAGAATTAAAAAAATCACTCGCCACTTAAACAAAAGTGACGAATGAAATTTTAAATTTTTGCCACGTAGGTAAAAACGACGAATAGTAATTTATTAAGATTTTAATTATTTAAGAACACTAAATTTTATCATTTTTATTTGTTACAAAACTAACAACTATCTTTAGATATTAGGATTTATATTATTTAAAAAACTAAAAATTATATTTTGATATTTAAAAAATATAAATTATCATTTGATGTTAATGGTTTTATGTAAATATTTGATGATATGATATTTTCATACAAATTTTTAAAACTTATAATGCAAGAAAAAAAATTAAGAGATCACCAAAAAAAATATTTATATACAAAATGTATATAAAAATTCGTGCGTCGCACGCCACATAAGCAAAAGTAATATTTCGACCAATGAAAAATTATATTTATATATTAATTTTGAATTTAAATTTTCATCGCCATTTAAGAAAAAATTAACAAATGAAATTTGAGAATTGAAAACAAAAAAATTGTAATTTAAGATTTAAATTATGAAAAAAAACAAAAATTATCTTTTTTATTATCTTTTACATTAGGATTTATATTATTTTAACAAATAATTAGAAATTAAAAAATATATTTTGATTTAATAATTTTATTTAACTATCCGATGAACGAGATAATATTTATTTCAATTTATAAACTCAAGTTCTATATACGTAAAATTTGAATAGGAATAATTTAAAACTTAACAAAATATTTTACCTAAGTAGGCACTTTTGGAGAGTATTTGGAGCGCCATGTAAATAAAGGTATTATTTTAACCAATAAGAAATTAGATTTCTATTTTATTTTAGAATTAAAAAATTCACTTGCTACTAGATAAAAGTGACGAATTAGATTTGATATTTGGAGCGCCATGTAAATAAAGGTATTATTTTAACCAATAAGAAATTAGATTTCTATTTTATTTTAGAATTAAAAAATTCACTCGCTACTAGATAAAAGTGACGAATTAGATTTGATATATCTCTGATTTTAATGCCACGTAGATTAAAATCAACAAATCAAATTATTTTCATGGAAAAAAAAGATAAAAATTCAATTATATAGATAAATTACATGTACACCAAAAAGATAAATAAATAAATAAAATAAAAACTCACAATTCAATCCCCAAAACCCACTACGTATGAATAAAATAAAATATAAATATAAATATTAATAATAATACACTACGTATGAATGTTGGTACTTGATGGTTGTATATTCAAATAATCTAATCTAATATATGTATATAAAGGGGAGTTTTTTCCCGAGTTTTTAGAGAGCCACGTAGGATTTAATTTTTTCAGCGCACCACGTAGGATAATAAATTTTAGTGGTAGCCAATTAAATATGAGATTATTAATTTCTTTTAGAATTAAATAATTTAACTGACACGTAAGCAAAATTGGTGAATCAGACAATCCAGTTTAAATTAATTAAATATAAAATATTATCTTTTAATATCAGGAATTTTATCTAAACATTTAACAATTTTTAGCACATAAATATATATGTAAAAATATTATTTTAAAAAATTCAAACAAACCAAGGAGAGTTTTTCCTGAGTTATTAGAGAGCCATGTAGGATTTAATTTTTTCATTGCGCCACCTTGGAATGAATGATATTTTTAAGTTTAAATTAATTAAATATAAATATTATCTTTTGATATTAGAAATTTTATCCAAATATGTAACAAATTAGCACATAAATACAAGAAAAAAAATATTAAAAAAACTTCAAATAAAACCGTGCATCGCACGGGCTTCATCTAGTTAATTTATAATTTCCACTTTAGAAGATTGAAACAACTAAAAGATACAGAGGAATTATATTATGGTATAATCGATCTAACACGAAATTAAGGCTAGTGTAAGACAACTTAATGAGAAACTGTACATGCAACTTAACGAGAAACAGTTCAATTTTGTATATTTACCATTATTTCTAAATTTTTTGTTACAAAAATGATATGTAAATCATATTTCGTCAAGTATAGTAGTTAGAAGATCTTATTTGACTGAGCAATTGATGAAGATGAATATACTCCGTATAAAGTAATGGAGCAATATATATTAGTTTTATTTTTGAAACGCAACAGTTAGTGTATAATTGACATTTTTGGAAAAAAAAAAAATCAAACTTTAGTACCTTAAGTTATTAATGTCATTTTTTTTTTGCTTTAGTATTACCGCTTTTAAAAGGTTATTGGATGTTTGAGTACCTTCGATATCTAATAATTTGCAATTAATAGAAAAGTTCAGTACCTTGTATTTGTGTTTACTTTGTAGTTAGACAACAAGTGGTAAGAGTCGAGGATGAGGCAAAATACGACAACTCTATGAAAGCCCCCTTGTTAAATTATATAGCTTAAATGAAAAATACTTTATAATATTAAGTTATATATATTAAATAAAAAATATATATTATGTATATGAAGCCCTCAAATCAACTTTTAAATCTTTTCTAAATTAATTAAAAATTAAACCTCAAAAATATTATGAAACAAAATTGAATTGAGAAATTGAAAATTAATTGGATTCGATAGGTATAATATTGAAGATTGATAATCGAAGGAGTAGAGAGGTTCATAATATACGCAAAAATAAAATAAAAATAAAACAATTATGAATATTGAGGGAGAAAATATGTGTGTATAGTTGGCTAATAAATGTTATTCAATGTTTCATAAACAAAATCAAACGAGATTTAAATCATGTTGTCCATTTCATGTACGTGTCATCCTTATTTATACAAATGGTATTGCTTATGATATGATCAAATACATTTCTAAGGTGTATATGTCATGTGACATTCCTTTTATTCATTGAAAACATGGCATGTCATTGATTTAATAATGAATATATTTTAATAGTGATAATATAAATTCCCATTGTACGTAGAGTTTTAACTCATGACCAATGCAACGCAAAATGAGTTACAGGTTTTACTATTATCACAATAGTTTTTTTTTTTATAAAACGCTTTCATACTTAGCTCAAATTCATCTAATTAAAGTCGAGTCTGTTTAGTTAGTACATTTTTTTATATCTTTTATTGTTTGCCAATTTTTATTACGTTAAATATACGTCACTAGAACTCAGATAGTAATATGAGGTACATACGTATATTTTTTGAAATCAAATCACAAAAAAAATATTTCAAAAAAAGAATGATGTACATACAACTAACTTGATATATCTTTTACACGTGAACAATATAATAGTCAATACTAAAGGGAATAGAGAAACGTATGTGAAAGTAATTAATGTAGTGTGTAAACATGTGAGGCAAGCAAATAAGGAGAATGTCTCTTGTGATTACTACCTACCTAAGCTACCTCTTCTTGGCTTTAACACTTTAAATTTTAATTCTCTTGTCTTATCCAATGCACATTCTTGCTTATGTATACTCTCGTGAGCACTTGACAAAAATCCACATTTATATTACTTTTCTCTTACATCTTTATAAATCATTCACACTATTTCCATTGTATTTTTTGCCCATTTTGAACTAGTACAACTTTTATCGGTTTTTTTACTATTATTGTTTGCTTATTTTAGGCCTGTTTTAATTAATTGAACTGAACTGAGCTGAATTGAATTAAACTTAACTTATTGGAGCTGAACTGAATA